AGGTGTGTTGGGTCTCGGGGCTGACCTCCGAAGTCAAAACTGTTTTGCAAAATAGAATTCAATACATCATGATTCGGAACATTTACACAAAATTACTGCATTTTACATTTACCTCTAACTTTTGTTCCTAAATTTGATTCTAGGTACTGTAAGTTAAAACCAGCCACACAATCTGATTCATATAGAGCAATATCTACATAGTGATGATTATATCATTATTTTAACATAATCGAATGTAATTTATGATTTATAATTTTACTCCTTTCTTACCTTCATCATACGACGTATATGATGCCTCTGATGTCCACACAACTTCCTCTCCTTCCTTTTACCGCGGCCCAACTTCATTAAGTTGGGTTAATTTGAAGTGTATTCTTCATCTCCTGCATGTCTCCTCGCAGAGATGTAAGATTCTAGAACGAATATTTAGATGAAGCAGCCCTTAGGACTTCAATGCCAACTTAAAACTCATTCCTCACCATAGAATGCCTTAAAAACTACTGCTTCTTGGGTCCATGTTTTCCGATCTATGGACGCTTTTCTCTTAACCATCAATGTAATGTCTTTGTATCTAGGTGGCCACCAAACTTCCTTTATGGACCCATCATCGTTAATGATGAGCCACTCTTTGGGCACCTCGCAGGGGCTGCCAGCCATTAATACTACAGCATAATCCTTCATAATATTGAATGCAATACCAAAGTTTAATGACTACAAGAAAAAATCAAAATATTTGTTCAGGACGTCACCTCACAATGCATACAATAAGTGGTAAAGTCTGATTTCGGCCAAAATTTAACACGTGTTTGGGTACATGATTTTACACAAATAATCAAACTTTGCATTTGCATTAATGCATTAATGATTTTGCAGTGCAATAACTATTTTCAGAGAATTAGTTAATACCATAACCTAAATTTTAGCCGAAATTAACTTAATTCAGTCCAAACATAACCCTCTGAATATATGGTTTATGAATCTTTGAAACGTTTGTTACATTCTTTAGTCCAAATGGCATTGCTAAGTATTATTCACAGACTCCTCAGGGTGTTATAATTGCTGTTTTTGAATGTTTTTCTCATCCATAGGAACCTGACGGTAAGTTTTGAATAAATCCAGTGCCGAGAAAATTTTCTTATCATGGAGTAATGGGAACACCGATCTTGAATAAGTGGTGGAGGATATTTGTTGGCATTTAATCTACGAAAATCTCCACACCACCTGTATTTTTCATTTTTCTTTTGCGTCATGTGCACAGGACTTGCCCATTGGCTGCTTGACGGTCGAAGTATTCCTGTATTTAGTAGTTCTTGTTGCTGCTTTTCCCCAAAGATTTTTCCGAATCTAGCTGCAACTGGTGGTCCTGTAATAATGATTTATGTGCCAGGCGCGGTTCTTTGCATTTGAAGTTATTTTGATGTTTAGTAGTGTCTATGTAGTTATTTAGTAAATTCTTATACTGATTGATTGTATTAATTAATGCTGGCGTTTGTCCATTTGAAGTTAGTCTTGTTATAGGATAAATTAATATGTTTCTTTGAGGTCAAACAGCAGGTTTATTAGCTCTGATGATTGCAGTTGATACATCAGCCGATGGCCATGTGAAATAACGTATAATATTAGGTCTAGTTCCACATGTTTTTGCTGCAAATAGTACTAATTCGTCCAATTCGTTAGCCACATCGATATTTGTTTGCTGGTAAATTTGATAATATGGATCCTGAATCTACAAGAAAATATTGAGCTCAGTACTTAAAGAATTTATATCACAATCTTCACAAGCCCCTGTGTTCAATGGTGGCTTTAGTTTTTCGGATTGGGTTTGCTACTGAACAGACATGGCTGTGTGCACTTGTTGCTCTTGTCTCCAAACCTTATGTGATAGTAGCAAACATGACTTCTTGACGGTGTTCTGGTTCTTGGTCTTCTGTGGAATTGGTTATATGGATTGGGTCTGGACTTTAGCTGCTCTATTTCTTGTTGTTGTACTTGTTGTACAGGTTTCAGTTTCTGTATTTCTTTGAAAGCCAATGTGAGAATATTATTTAGCATATCTAGTTTATTGTCTATGGTGTCCTTGTGGTGGCCATGGCGTAGTTGGAACCACATACTTCCATGAGTTTTACAGCAAGATCAGCGATTGTGTTTAGGACCGATTTCGCTGTTATTACCAAATGGATTCTGATGTTGTGTGGATATGATCAACTCTATCATACAATAAAGGAAAAGTTCACAAATTTGATCAATTTAGAGTCAGGGCAGATACCAGCGCAATTTGTATTATTAGACGTAAGTATTTTACTTGGCTTTTTGGTTTGCTTACTAATTCATGTACTACAGGGTCATATTTTTCTATTAACTCAAAGTTTTCTCTGGAGCTTAATACATCACTATCCACGTTTGTTTAAAGTGTCACAAGAAGTCTTGAAAGTACTTGACGCCAAAAAGATATTACTTTTATGATTACAGATTTATGCTCGTCATCGAGGTTCTATGTAGTCGCCACTGTTGACATGTACTATATGAATCAAGATGAATTTGTTGCTGGCTTTCAGAGCTTTCCAGTGTTATTTTTTTACTGGACAGGTCTTTGATCTCTCTTTCAGATCAGTCGGTGTTGTGATCACCTTAATCCTACGGCAGGCTTCGACCTGAAACTGTGTCATCCTTGTGGATTTGTTTCTAATCATGCACTATTCCATCGCAATGTAGTTTCGCTTGGCTGAGAGATTTTTTCTTCCGCGACGACTCTAATCTTGTGTTGATCTTCCTGTGATCCTTCGTTATCCGTTCCAGCTTCGTGGCTGGCGGCTCTTGCTTTTCAGTTTCGGTTTTCGGTTTTCAGTTTCTTTCTGCTTCACAATTTTTGAATGCTCTTCTTCGCAATGACTCTGATATTGAACTGCTTTATTGTGAATTAAAATCGTGACATTAAAGCCATCTATTTTTAAAACTTTAAACGAATTCGTTTACATTGATAAAGGTTTTTTATATTTCCGCGTATATCTATAGATTCGTCTATCATGATATCTATTCAAATGTTTGAGGATATTATATTTTGATTGTAATACAACTCGATCGTGGGTGATTAATCATACCCAAAATATTAAATTGTACGTTGTGAAATATAAAAAAATAATAAGTATTGGTATGGCAAACAACCTGAAAGATAATGAAGAAAGAAAACAGCTCAGTAAAATATATTGTACATATATATATTATATATATATATATATCGGCATACACCTCACTAGTATCATTGTCAATATTATATTCAACACCCTGTTTTCCATTGTAGTAAATAATTGCAAATATATTTAATTAAAAACTTAAAATAAATCGACTCTATGATGACAACACAAGCACTGTTACTCAGTAAAAAACGTACTACTACGACACCGGCTACTGCAACTGGATGTAGTGACGCATTACTACGTCGGCGGATAGCGAACAAATGACGTAGTACTACGTCAGCGGCCAGTAAAGATCCAACCTGAGAAAATTGTATTGGAATAACTCCTCCCTAAATAAACATCTCGTATCGTCTTCTTTTCGGGAAAGACGCAAAAATATCATCTTGATTAACTTCTACTTCTAAACCTACGACTGGCGCATTCATTTCAATCAACTTAAGTCTTAACAAACCTTTAAGAGTTCTAAGTAGAAGTGAACATTGAAATTTCCGGAAAACGAGAGTGAACTCTGAAAATCGTATTGTATCCATTTGGTAAAGGTATGAGCTTGTGTAGTTTAGAATTTTTACCGCAATGAAAAAACTATCGACATAAAAAGTAGCATTTCCTTGACTTTATTTGAAATATAGAGAGTGAAAGGCATCTGATGTCATGCGGCTATAGAATTAGGTAATTGGCTGCGCATTTATCTGAGGAAAACACATGTGACGATGTATCCGCAACAATTTCAACACCAAAACTACTTAATTTTGGTATGGTTGCATGTGTGTAATAAATTATTTCAAGTTCATTTGTTTCATAATCTACAAATATATTATATGATTAATATTTCGTATTATATTCCTAAATAAAAGATGAAAAATATAGCTATATTAGAAACATAGTTATCGATTATCAATTATATGCGAATATATGTTTATATTCATATATAATGCTTTTAAATTTAGATATTATTTGTTTATACATTGTACATGCACATTTTATGTTTAATATTTTATATCATTAACATAAATAACTAACAAAATAATGAAAATATTATATAAGTGTATGGTTTTTATACCTATCATACTAATATGGAAGTGAATTAAGATACTTTTGATCATAATCGCTATCATTGTTTATAGAAACTGAGGTTTTTTCAGTGATAAATATTTTAGATAGTATTTCAGACGGGCGTATAATTTGCGATAAATATCTTGCATATGAAAAATAATATATAATAGCGGAACTGTGAAAGCAGCAACCAACAGTCCTTAATCCGTTAGGACAACTGGTTCCACTAGTTCACGGTTACGGGTGGTGTGTACTCTATATAGACATTATAGGTTTTCCTATTAACATGCCGTGATCGAATATTCTGTCCAATTATATTAGAATTTTCTTTCGCAAAATATATCTTTGGTTGACTGTCATTATTTAACATTTCAGCCAGATAGGATACCGCTTGGGATAACTGGTAGGAGCCTGTAAATAGAATTTTGAGTTCTCGTTCATTTAAGTGTGGGAAGCCTAATAGACAATCTGGCTGAAAAAGTTCTAGTGTTGTCGCTCGTCTACTTCATCTTTTTTCAATGACTTCATTTGATAAAGAATTTGGTATGTTGCGTATATTCATGTAATTGATAACTTCATCCGCCAAATCTCCATCCGATGACGGCCGCTTTTCATACTTATTATGTAGAAAACCAACAATTTTACACAATATTTTCACTTTAGGCAGTGCTTTATTGTCTAGTTTATGATGAAGCAATCGATATCTTTGTGAAATATTGACGTACACTGCTTCGACAACCCATGGGAGCTTAGTTATCCTTCTGGATTCATTGTATCTTCAATCGTAAGTTGTTTTCTTTTGCCTTTACAACATGGCATAAAAGGAACATAACGTGCTGATTTCATATCATAAATAGCATCACGAAATCCACGATCAACTAAAAAAAAATATCATCTTGATGCAAAAAAGTGCCGATTCCGTGCGAATCTTTCAATATAATTTTCATAATATTTGCATCATTTTGTGTTGCCAGAAAGGGCCCGAAGAAGTCAACGACAAAACTATTTGTTGTGCAAATCGTGAATGGTTTACACAATGGAACCAGTTTCTGGCCTGAAAACAACTTTCTTTAGTACTCATTATCTGTGCTTTTTTCATGACGTATGTAGGTACCGCCACATATTAAAACTAACCGATCTTCAGGCAAATAACGATTTTTTTTTTGAATTTTACGAAGTCTCCAAAATTAATTGGTCTCTTGTAAAAGACTCTTATCCAAAATTTTGAACTAATGTGTCCCTTTCAAATCCATTTAAAATTTGAGAATAGTAATGAAAAACTTGACTTTTAGAAATATTAAAAATAGCGGCGACAACATTGTTAGAGTTTCCGGTTCTTAATTTAAATAAAAAAAATTACTTATGCTTATAACGTTTCTTGTTGTCTTTCATTGATTTAAACATATTACTTAATTCCATGATAACACATATTATATATAACTTCCGGATAAAATCCTGTTAATATTTTTATTTTCTTCGGTGACAGCAAAATTTTCCATCTGTTTAAATAGCGATTGGTTTGAACTTTAAGCTGTTTTAAAAAAAGGACACTTCTTTCTAAGGCACATAGCTTGTATTTGAATAAATACGCGACTGTTGTACAGTAGAACCTCCTTATTCGCAGGGGATGCGTTCCGTAAAAATGCCGCGAATAAAGAATCCGCAAATACGGGATGGCATTTTGTATGGGATTACGGGAATACGTTCCAAGATGACAAATAATCCGCAAATATTGAAAAATCCGCAAATATAGGATGGCATTTTATATGGGATTATAGATCCAAGGTGTCAAAATAATGAAATGTACATACATAAAAAACTATATTTTTACTTATATTTATAAATGCATTAGATTAATTACTTTATATATTTGATTAATTATATTATACATTAAACATTTTGATCATTTTTGTTCAGAAATAGGCAAAGATTTGAAAAACTTTGTAATTTTTTCTTGCTTGGTAGTTTTCAAGAGTTTCTCCAATTCAGACTGATAAACGGCAGTCACATCCGCAATTTGCCTCTTAAAGAGAATACTTCTCTCCATAGATGGATCAATGTTTATAAAAAAATCACACAGATCATTTGCCATTTTTAAACCTTCACTGAGACTCTTTAAATTAAATGTTTTCAGTGCACGCTGAAGCCTCTTCTTCATTGGGTTGTGAATTTAACATTTCTTCCAAGTCGGTTTCAGACAAATCATTATCACGTGATTCAAGCAATTAGGTCTGTTAGCACGTGTTACTCAATCACAATATTTGCTACGAATGAGTAAAATGAAGAAATAAAGCATGCATAGCAGCATTTACCACAGAAACGAACAATATTAACCCTTTCGACTCGAATGCCGCCGGTCCGGCGGCAAAATTAATATATATCTCGAAATTCGCGAGTGGAAAGTGTTAAAGCATACATATATGATTCATTCATTCCCTGTTTGCTTACTTGATCAAAAACGCTGATAACGGAGAGGACGGCGAACGCAACGCAATTATATAGGTAAAAAAGACGGCATTTACAGAGGATATTGGATTTCATATACACTGGAATCCGCAAATAACGAAATTTCTAGCCGCGAATAAAGGTATCGGGTCGCAATTTTTTTGGCCGCGAATAGCGAAAACGCGAATGAAGAAGCCGCGAATAAGGAGGTTCTACTGTATATCTTCTTCATAAAAAAAATTACCGAACAAATGCTTATTACAGGTACGATTACCTGTAGGAATATAAATTCTGGCCTTTGCGCATACATGAATTCTAGCCTCTAAAGGAATTGTAACAAGGTTGGATATATTATTACAAATTGAACAATGTCGATGGGTCGATGCTATTCGATTAAGACAAAGTTCAACAAATATCACTTTTTTCAAAAATATTACAATCGTATTCACTACAAAATGCACTTACAGAACTACTATCACTACCACTAAGCACTGAATTATTTGCATTGCATATGCTCGTTCTGCTACTAGAGTTTCTATAAGGAATTAGTCTACACCATAGATAAACAAGTATAAATAGATGGCAAACCGGCCCGCTTTTCGATTATTTTAACTTTAATTTACCGCTCCTGCTATAGAGGCGCGACGAGTGTAGCATGAAAATTTACCCCTAGGTTCAATTCTAGATAAATCCAAATCCTTATGTTTAATTCTAAGATAAATTTATATATATAATATTGTTACAATAAATCTGAAATTTTAATATGTGAAATGATAACAAAACATACTCATAAAAATATATTTTCATAAATATTAAAAACATTTTCAAAAATGAAATAAAATTAATATATTACCAATAATCAAATATAAATAATAAAATATATCAATAAAACATAATTTAAATAGAATACAATTATTAATAAATAGACAAGATTTTCTAACATTCGCAGAAAAATATACGGGTTTTTTCTGCCTCAGTCGAGTTTTATTGGCCTTGAGACATTTCTTGTACTTTTCGAGAGCTACTTTTTTATGGAGTCCTGTTCATTTGCATTCATATATTTTCCTGAGAGACATCGTTTCACAGTATAGCACCAGTTATTAACAACAAACAATATAAATAATTTAGATAATTGAACATCTCCGACCCTTATTCTTCCAAAAAAATCTGCAATGGATCTTGATTAAAATTTCTGGTACATAAATAACTTTCTTTTTGTTTCAAACGTGCCTCAAATCCTCAATAGCTTTTCAGCCCAGTTTCTTAACGCATGCGGCTTTTGTTAGTACCCTGCTAGAATTTTTTATCTTTACGAACTGTATTTAATTCAACACTTTTTTGACACTGTGGTACGTGACACTTCGCCATATTGAAATTTATTATTAATTCTTTTGTTTTTCTGAAGTATTCGTTCTTTATCGGTCGTTATCGAGTAGCACCGTCAATAGTCCTGCGAGTTTGATGTACGCGTTGGCCGAAAAACGACGTTAGTTTTGAATTTGGGAACAGTAAAACCCTCTATCGCAGGAGCGGAACACTAATACGATAAAAAGGTCATTTGTTCTATGTTTGCCCCCCATGGTCTACACGTAGCACACAAAATATCACCAATTAAAATAGTTTTGTCTGTAGAACTACTGTACAATTGTTTATCATCCTTACTTAAAACGACCTTTTTGCCCACCAATTTTCATCAAACATTAATTGTAATTCTTGCAATTTTGCGATATTATAATTTCAATTATATTAACAAATTATAATGAACCACTAAAATATACGCTCAACAAATTAAATTGTTATCAAAATAAAAAAAAAAAATAGCAAGTTCAACTGACACATAATTAGAGTTCGCAAAAAACACACAAAACACAAACAAATGAATAAACTTCTATACAATTTGCAAGTAATAATATAATATGTTAGCAAATATTAAATCACTAAAATGTTCACTACACAAAGTAATTGTGTTGTCATTAAAATATAAGATTTCAATCTGGCACAAAATTAGTGTTCACAAAAAATCACACAAAACATAAGAAAGCAAAATATAGACAGCACAAAAATATTATTTCCGAAATCAACTAACGACACAGTTTTCGGAAACCAGATAAATTATTTTCTAAAATTACTTAAATTCCAAGTGACTGTATTTGAGGCATACACAATATCGAATGGTACATATTTGTTAAATAATAAAAGCATAGACTTTTAGATTACTAAATATTAAATTCTTTATTGTATTGCAGAATTGATAAAAATAGAATAGGAATATCATATTTATAATTTTATATAGGTTATGTTATTATTCAACATTATATTTTTTTATTTTAAAAATATTTTTATCATAATGATTATAACTTGCATAGTTTAGTTTATATACACATGCTTTATTGCCTTATTAAAATTAAAGGAAAATATGTCTTATGTAAACCAACATGGAGAAGGAGGAATCAGAGAGATCATGGAAGTCTTCATAGAAATATATTAGAATGAACCCTGCTTGTGGCAAGTCAAATCTGCAGCTTATCATGATAAAATTTGAAAAATTCTGCGTATGATAAATTAGTGGAACAGTACAAATATATAGAACCAAGTGCTAATCGTAACTTAATAGTAAAGAAAATTAATAGCTTGCGTACAAATTATAGAAAAGAAAAAATAGATGAATCTAAAAGATCTGGCGCAGGCACAACAGAAGTGTACGAACTGAAATTATGGTATTTCAAACTTCTATGTTTATTCGGTACCACGGGCCCATGTTTCTAATATATCAGGGATTAATTTCGATCAAGTAAGTTCACAGTAACTTTATTTATTAAAAGTATTCATTATACGATTCAAAGGATAACATAAATAATGATAATTTTTATAATGTCAATGAATAAAGTTGTCTTGCCAAGGCATGCTTCCATCTTGTTGAAATAATGCACATATTTTTCCCTTACGATTTTTGCGGCATTTGGACTATTTCCTAAATATCGTTGATCTAAATGTTTCATATTTGAATCATTAGAAGTCGACCCCGGTGTAATACATCCCTGTTTCATATTTTCTCGGTCAAAACATTCTGCATAAGTATATGAGTTAGTAGAATTAGACATCAAATAATTGTGTAAAGCACAACTTGCCAGTACTATTCGATCAATGTTATTTGGCTCGACATTTATTGGTGTTTTAAATATTCTAAATCTAGAAACCAATATACCAAAAGCATTTTCCACAAAGCGTCTATCTCTACAAACACGATAGTTATAAATCTTTTTATTTTTTGAAGTAAGATCTGAGTGACGGAATGGTTTCATCATGTGCGTTCTCAAAGCAAAAGCATCATCAGCAATAAATACGTATGGCAGTATTTCAGAACTATTTTTGATTGGTTCATGTGATGGAATCTCCAATTCATTTTTCTGGAGCTTGTCATAGAGTTCGGTTGTTTGGAGTATACCTCTATCTGATATCCCGCCCTTAACTCCAAAGTCACACACGATGAATTGGTGCTTTGCATTTACTATTGCAAGTAGCACCATACTATGAGGACATTCATAATTATAATAATAAGATCCGCTTCCACTAGGAGGAATAATGTCTATGTGTTTGCCATCAATCGCCCGAATGAGAGTTTGATACAAGCCTGGTTGAATAATTACCTCCGACTTTGAACTTAAAAAATATAAAATATAAGTTTCAAGTGAAATAAAATTTATGTACAGCGTAAAAATGTATTTCCGAGTCCCCGGTTTCCTGGGCTGGGGCCCCCTTAGGTCGTGGGCCCGTGGCAATTTGCCACCCACGCCACCCTATAGTTACGCCACAGCATACTGACTTTTATACTCACTTTGAAATAATTTTTCTCCAGTACTTTAGATATAGCTTCACACGTCTCAGGAATAATTACACCCAATGCCTGAGGAGATATTAATGTTGTGAACTTTAAATCCTCATAACTCCTTCCAGAAGCAAGAAATCTTAATGTTGCCGTCAACTTTTCGTGTGGCGAAATAGCTTTACGCATAATAGTATCTTGTCTTCTACTTAGAGGTGAAACCATCTTTAGCAATTTTAAATAAGTTTCTTCGTCCATGCGAAGAAAATTGTGCCAATCCCTTGGCGCTACTTTGAATTTATAATAGATTTATATGCGAAAACAGTTACCTTTTTCTTAGCCATTCCTTGCACCAAATAGATCTCCTTTTAGTTATTTTCCATTTTTTTTGGGCAAATACAAATGACATGGCCATAAAATCGTCATCTATTTCTGCACTAATTTTGATAAAAAAAATATAATTATCTACTAATCACAAATAATTCAGTAAAAAATAATATCAATTATCACAAAGATATATTTTTAGATTATGTTTTGACATTTATTATTTGACAGTTGCGCATTCATTCACTTGCACATGCATACAGTTACGTCTGTGGCCGGCTATAATAAGCATGATCCCAAATGTTGATAGATCTTCGAAAAGATCAGTAAAATATGTTTCAACTTTCAACTTTATAAGACCCACGCCACTTTCTACAACTTTCTAATTTCATATCCCATGTGCTTCATTTTGTCAGAATATCAATTATTATTTTCATGGTTTTCAATTTCCCCTATTCTTGAATTGCTCTGAATACTGAAGTGCTCTGATTTTTCTTTCGTATCCTTTTCTCGAAGCCGACGTTTAAACCCAGTGTCAGATGGGAATAGTCTTGCACATGCTTGTTGATCTAATTAAATAGTCAATGCATGTGCAAGAATATGTATGGAAACATATTTTGCATGGTTCACACCTCAAGCATGTTGATATATGTATATTTCACGGTTCAGCGTACCACGTATGGTGCAACATCAGCAGTCGTTGATAGCACATTCCATTCTTTACTTTTCTTGACCTCCGTAATATTGCCTGGCAGTACTGTCCTACTTCTTGTGTGGATGCTGTAGATATCTCTGTCTCGTAGAAAGTATATGACCACACAGCCTTCGGTTCCTTTGTTGAAAAACATCTCTTTCATATAGTAGTACATATTCGATCGCTTTGTCCATTCTTTTAGAGTATTTTCCTTTCATCAATCTACTTTTCAACTGATTGTGGAAGCTTTCCAAAAACATATTTGTATTGACACCCAGACCTTTTCTAAACTATATGCCCAGGTCTTTGTGCGCTTATAATAAGCCTTCCTGAAATATTTTGCGAATGACTGTGTAACTACATCTTCTTCAAGCTCCTTCAGGTTATCATTTAAACTGCTCGAGAATTCCTCTTCATTTAAAATCATTTTAATCTCTTAATTTTTAATCTCTAATTAATTTATCATAAACTTGCGTCTGTCTTTGTCTACTTCTGATCTTTGCTCTTTTCCAATTCCTGGACACATGCCATGAACACAATAATTTGTTTTCTGGTGACCCCATAACGTGTGACCAGCAATTGAAATATGCCGGAGCATTATCTGTCATAAAAGTTTTAGCCTTTATTTTTCCTACTGCCTCAGAAATTTGCTGAAAAAAAATTTGAAAAAGTAATTCATTTTGTCTGTTTGAGAAACAAAGGCAACAGGAATCCCACTCCCAAATTTATGCGTATGCGTATTGCAATTGAAAACCATAACTGTTAGTCCCGTGCGTACCATCAACGCATATCTTGTCTGTACCAAATTCCAATAACGTTTGCGCCTGCATGTTTGTCATAATTACAAGAATAAAGTCATCATTGCCAAGTCCATAATTAGTTGTATTAATTCCTTTATAAAATAACACTTTGAAGGTTTCTTTTGTTGGTTCTCCTTAACCCAAGTAGTTACACTTGTTGAATCATTTTATTTCTAAACGTATCGTATGGTGGTAGAACTTTCTGTTTCATATTCCAAATATCTTTCTTTGCAATCATGGAAGCTCTCAGTGGTAATTCTTTATTGTAACAAGCTTCACGTATGTTTTTTAGAATGAAATCATTATCAACGCCAGCCTTAATTTGTTCTGAAAAAGTTATAATAAGAATAAAAAATAACAAAAATTTCGTACATAAAACTAAATAATCTTTAACTATACCTTTGATGTTATTTATCAAATTTTGGTTCAGTCGCACATATTTTGTCAAATTTTCATGTTCCACATACGTCTTCCAGTAATCACATTTAACATGTCCGTCATTATATATCTTGCATATGATTCGTGAGGGACAAGCATGTCCAATTGTTTTGGTACCCCTTGAAATTTTTTCTTTTATTTGATGTGTGTAAGACCGATTGCAATTAAAATATTGAGCGTATAGGCCTTCCCACAATCCTCAATGGGACAGGTAATCCGAAGAGCCCTTATAGATCCTATAAACTGTCAATTATTGTAATTTTTGTGGATGTAATATTAAACATATTTAAATAGTATTTATTTATTAACTTCCCGTAGGGCAAGTTATAGTAATCGCAAAAAAATCGAAAATGAAAATTTTTATATATCTTTACGTTTCAGAGGTTTCTGAACATTTTGGCATACCTTAGAAAAAATGGATGTATGTGTGTGTGTGTGTGTG